TTTCTTCTTCTTCTTCTTGTTCTTCTTAGACTTAAATTATTAAAGTGCAGCATAAAAATATATATTCAAAGATTAAATTGATCAAATTGTGTGAAGTTATTCAAAGGCGGGAGTGCATAGGCTTACATGTGTGTGTGTGTGAACATTTAGAGTAGAAAAAGGAGGTTTTTGGAAAAATTTATGGCAAATTAGCAAAAAATAAAAAAAAAAAAAAAAAAAAAAAAAAAAAAAACATTAAAAATAAATGAATAAGAAAAACATTTTTAAAAATCCAAAGTCTCTTTCAATTATTGAATCCATACATCTATCTATATGTAAACGTTTCTATGTATTAATATGTGACGTTTATAAAAATTATCTATTATTATATACTAATAACTGTGAAAGCAAAAAAAAAAATCTATATCACGATATAATATATAAATAACACAGCAAACAGGACGGAAAATGTGTGAAGAACTAACAAATGATATTTCATTCAGAATTTAAAAACTGATATTTTAAGCTATATATTTATGTAATATTTAATATAATATAATCAGCTATGCACACATTGAAAACAACAACAACAACAACAAAAAAAAAAAGATAGAGAAAACTCGTTTGTAAAGGAAATGCTCAAAAAATTAATAAGAGCTAACGAAAAGTTAAATAAAAATACGAATTATAGAAAAATCCAATCTATATACATATGTGTATCTGTGTGTTAGTTATTATTATTATTATTATTATTATTATTATTATTATTATTACAAATTTAGCCAGAGGCACAAATTCTAAGACTTAAGTCGTCTTAAAGCACTAGCATCTAAGGCTTTCGGCTTTATTAAAAACTCGACCGCACTTGAGATTTGAACCCACGACCATTGAGTTGCTAATCGAGATTCTTGGCCACTCACGCGGATGTGTTTTATTTAATCATAAGAAAAAAAAAAAAAAAAAAAAACAGGAAAAAGTTAAAAGCGAAATTTTTCATATACCGAGTATACAGGGTCCCTTAATTAGAACCATTTCCCTCAATGATGAACTTTTTCATGCTTCCGCTACAGCTACACTCGTGTTTGCCAAATATCTTAAACATTACGAAAAATGCAAGGCACAAGCCATAAGAGCCATATATATATATATATATATATATATATTCTTGATCAAAGTAAATAATAGAATCGAACTGAGTAACTTGGTCCGCCGTCGTAAATTGGTCCACGAAGCACACAACAAGCATAGGAATTGTAAAAGACTTTTTCCTCCCAAGTTACGATCTTAAAATTATAAAGCTTTCAGTTTAGAGATTTCAGTTGAATATCACACATGTCGTTGTTGGTGGGTAAATGCTTCATATCGTGTTCCAAAATTCACCTAAAAGAGAGAGCAAAAGTAATCTTTATTTTCCATGATCCTTATGCGCTTCAATCGCGATGCGATAAAGAATAGTCTCCTTATCGAATCAGCTCCATCTTAATTGATGAAATTCTGCTCAATGTAACTACTTTCTCGTTGTAAGCCCGCAAAACTTGCGGTACAAAGTTTTATAATAAATTTGGGTGCGGCAGATTTGTGTTAGACCCATCTTGTATTATATCAATCGATTCGTAATCATTTTTATAATTCGATTTAAGCTTGCTGTCCGTCCATGTATCGTCTTGTTCAAATTATAGGACACAATTTTCGATATATTTAGATCAAATTTGATACTTTTTTTTGATCACCTTGGTCTTTTTAAAAAAATTTAAGCCCCTACATGCCAACAATAAAATCTACCTTTTATACTTTACACCACTTGTGGTAGAGGGTATATTAAGTTAGTGCGGTCGTACGCAATACGCAGAAGGGCTTAAGATAGACCCATTTTTTATTATACCGATCGATTCATAATCATAATCTGTCTGTCCGTCTGATGTCTGTCCGTGTAAATTTGTGTTCAAGCTAAAGGTCGCAATTTTTGAGATATTTTGATGAAACTTGGTACAGTGACATGTTTTGACCCAAGGACGAACGCTATAGAAAATGATTCAAATAGCTGCACTTTTTCAAACACTCCTCATATAACGCCCTACCTAAATTGGAACAAATTGTAATTTTTAAAATTTCTCAGCAAAAGTGCTTAAGTAGTAGTATTTTGGTATTCTAAATTGGTTTGAACACTTTGGACCGGCTGGGGCAAATTTTGAACCCCTCTTATATAACGAAAACTGAAGTTCATACGGCAAAAAAGTGTAATTTTCAATGCTAAATTTAAAATTAACTGCACCAAATTGTGGACTATCTCTCGGCCTACTCTTTGGCTGCTTCCCTAATTAGGATTTTCACGAAACTGTCTAAGTTTTAATAGGCGGTAATGGAAATTGACCCATAATATTATAGTAATTTCATACAAAAATATACACTACAAAATTTAGACCATCTACGCCTATTTATGGATCCTACCCTATTATCATTATTATTAAACATGGTATTAAACCACACTGGGTTGCGTTGTGGGCCCGCTGTGCCATTTTTATAGAAACAAGATATAATTTTTGTGTTCTATAATAAAAATAAGAATTGTTTCGGACAATGTGCCATAGAGTATTTCGTGGTCGTCCTTGCCCGCCTATAATATTCTTACTTGTTAGTATTTTATGATGAAAATTCATACAAAATAGTAAGTTAATAAATCTGGTGCGGTAAGTTTGGACTACCTATCTCTATCTAAAAAACGTTGTCACGAATAGTAAGCTTTATATGTAAATATGCTACAATTTTTAGATATTTCATGACGAAAACAGTTAAAGAAAGGCCAAGTGAACTTGTGCACCGGCCGGCTTTGGTCGATTATAACATTTCAACTTTTTGTCTGTTGCTGAATTTATGGTGAATTTAATCGTTGTTAGGTTGCAGTTTTTAGATTTTACAAGCACGCAGACAGAAATCTTTATTCCCAATATATTGGAAATTGTTCGCAGAAGTATCAAGATACGAATACGAATTTGATTCTAAACATTTCCCTAATTTACAAGCCTTCACGACGACCGTTTGAAATCGCAAAACAAAACTAACTCTCTTGACAGAAGCAAACGAAAAACAAAGGCAAGAATTATGTACATATAAAAGTACAACGTAACTGTATTCCTGAAGAAAATCAGCCTAAAAGTACAGAACAGAATTTCGAAATTTCGAAGAAAAATCACTACTTTGCTGAAAAAGTGAAAGTACTTGGAAGCGTCCACTATTCGAAAATAATGTTGCATTCAAAGAATGATAATTTCAAAATACCGTACGACTTGTTTTTTTTTTTTTTTTTTTTTTTCTCCAAAAACCGATCAACACCTATAATGGACTACAATATACCAATAAATACCCCACACCACCTGGCTCAATACAGTTGTGCATGTAATGACTTTTCAACATAAGATGTTATATGAGAAAGAATCCGACTCGAAATATCAATTTTTAAAATTTGCAAAAAATATCTATTGGTAATGTCTTAATAAGTGTGACATATGGAAATAAAAAGAAATCATTGTATGCTAAATCACAATTATATGACGGATAGCTTATCGATTCAAAATTGTATGTAATCAAGAAGTCAACTATGTCAATTTGCGTCAATTGTTTGCGTCAAATACCATATTTATGCCCTTGTTTAAAGACTCCTAGCGGGCATAGAATTGAAGATCCTGCAAAGTTGATATTTTTCGATATTCCAAAATAACTGTGGTTTAAGCGAATCTTTTTTTTGAATCGGTACGCAGCCGGTCGATCGTTGCTTCTTTTTAACATCATGCAAATCAATTGCATTTTGAAGACATCTATCTCTTTTAAATTGGATATTGCCTTAATACAATCACTCATATAAGGAGTTTTTAATGTAAGTTGGTATAAGGAAAATGGACGAAAGGGTGGTCCAATCTGAACAATTTTCACATACGACAAAAACTTTTATTTTAGTTTATTTCTATCTATTCTTCTTAGCTGTTTTTTTTTTTTTTTTTTTTTTTTTTCATTAACACTAGAACTACCAAGTATGTCATTTCGATTTTTTTTAATTTTCGTTCTTCAAAAAAAAAAGTGTTATAATGCATGTAAAGCTCTACAAATTTTTTGGTGAGTTTTATTTATATAAAAACATTTTGCACTTTAAATTTATAAAATGATTTTTAAAAAAATATATTTCGGTTCAAAATTTTTATTTATTATTAACATAACTCGTACTGGCAATATTCAGCTCATCTTCACTCTCGGTAATGCCGTCGATCGTATTACTTTCGTCTGATCTATTGTTGTTGTACTTCACGTATCTCAAATTTAGAAGCGATTTATTGAAAAAATATTTTAACGTTACTTTCGGACAATAGCACCAAACATCTAAAATTTAGGTCAATTTTTCTGTGTAAAAAGGTTTATCTTATCGTCAGAAAAATACTTTAGTTTAGGAATAGACCAGTTGTGGGTTTATTGGTGAATCAATTGGGACCATTTTTGGATCAAACACGTAGGCGGATTTGACGAAAACTTTTCGAAAGATCTTCAAAGTATCGAAAAAGTATCTTATTTTTTTCTTAAATTTATTTCAATTTTTTATTTATGTTAGGGCATATCGCAACAATTTTTTTCCGTTGGATTCTTA